ATATATATATATATATATATATATATATATAGAGAGAGAGAGAGAGAGAGAAACAGGCTCTCCAACAATAGAAGACAACAGACATATAAAGAAACAGGCTCTCCAACAATAGAAGACAACAGACCAAATCATAATTATAGAAAAAATACTATTGAAAGCATCACAATAATTTCAAGGAAAAAAAAGGTAAAAAATAAGAAATTGAAAGAGACCTGCGCTGCAAGATGTTGGAGGATCTTTCTGCAGATCCTTCAGTTCCTTCAGAATCCTCTTCGAAGCCATTGATCACTCACCAATCGAATTCTAAACAAAGAAACCCAATATTACACACAAAATTAGGGCACAAAAATTGAAAACGACTCTTTAAAAGGGAGATTTAGATTTATTATACACAAAATCAAACGCCGACAACCCTAGACATGGAAGAAATAAAACAGCAAAGATAACTGCAATAGAGACTTTACCAAAATCTAGGGTTTTGAAAATCGAGAGAGAAGATAAAAGATCGATCGAGGGAATAAAAGTACGGACTTTATAGGGGCCGGAGAGGAGAGCGGTTTGGTTTTTTTTTTTACAGGAAACCCGCTTTATTTATGCGTTATTTTTCCAAGGAACCCCACTTCTAGATAATTAATCACGTGTGTATCTTGACAAAACTCTAAGTCAATGATAAACGATCTAATCTTTACTTTATCCAATAACTAAATTTTTGCTATTCTATCTTTTAAACTTTAGAAAGTTTTTGATTTTCAATCTGATCCACAATTCTATTCTTTTAAAATTGTTTATCCAATTATAGAAATTTCACGTGAAGAAACTTTGATAAAAAAAGTATGACACAATGCCTAGAGAAATAATATGATGGGTTTTAGAAAAGAAACATATATTTAGTATGTGTATGTATGTTAATATGATTAAAGATATGTATGATAGAGTAACAAGTAGAGTGAAAATAAATGAATAAGAGACTAAATCGTTTTCTATTATCATAGGCTTACATCAAGGGCCAATCTTAAGCACTTATCTTTTTGCAGTGATTATAACCAACTTACTAGGTATATTCAGGATTAAGTCTCATGGTGTATATTATTTGCTGATGATGTAGTGTTGGTTGATGAGACTAGAGATGACATAATATTGGTGGTATAATAGTTTTAGAATCAGTAGAACAAATACTAAATACATAAAATGCATTTTTTAAAAACTAAAAGGAAAAAGAAGTTATATTACATAATATTGATCGTCAAGAAATATTAAAAAGTAACCACTTTTATTATTTAGAATCAATCATTTGTCATGATGGCGCGATTAATGATGATATTGTTGTAGGTTGTCTAAAAATCACAACAGATAGTTGATCCCCATTAAACACCGATGATGGAAGTTACAATTCGACGGCTTCTAGAATGTTACAATTTGAAAACTTTCACGTAGATCGATGAAGGTTACAATCTGACGACCTTCACTACAACTGATGAAAGTCTAATTAACAGCCTTCACAATTAACATCAGAAGTTATAATCTGACGACTCTCATATTTGCAAGGAGCCAAGATGAAGATTACAAGATGACGGTCTTTGCAACACTCTAGCAAAAGAGACTACAAATTGACGGTCTCTTCAAAGCAAAACGCAGAGGTCATGCCCGCGTTTCAAGTTCAAAACGCAGGGTTCATCCCCAGCATTCTAGTTGGAAACGCAGAGGTCATCCATGTGTTACAACATCAAAACGCAGAGGTCATGCCCGTGTTCCAGAGTCAAAACGCAGAGGCCATCCCCAGCATTCAAGTCCAGACGCAGAGTTCGTGGACTCGAAATGCAAAGTTCATACAAAGCCCAACTCTGCATCTTAGGTCCAAAACGCAGAGTTCATCTCTGCGTCTCAACTATGCGTTTCATATTTACAACGCAGCGCGACCTGTGCGTTCAGCCACCAAAATAGGCCCAACTCTGCGTTTCAAGTCTAAAACGTAGAGTTCGGGCCCAGAACGCGCAGACTGACGTTTTGACTTGTTCAAAGCACGAACTGAACGGTTTCAAAACCGTTCTCCCCACGATTTGGGGAGCTGTTTAAGGGGCCATTAAACCCTTATTAAGGAGAGATTTAATAGGGCGGTTATACCCCTTAATCCCCTATAAATAGTGGGAAACTCAATTGAGTTCAGGCTGGATTTTTGGCTCTGGGATTGATCCTTCTTTTTGGGCAGCAAAGAAAAGATCTTCGGCTAGCTTTTTGGGAGAATTGATGGAGCTTTGGAGATCAGCAACAGGAACTTTCTTCATCCTTGGCTTATAAACCGATTTCAGTTAAATCAACTCTTTCATAGAGTTTTAAACTCGTTCAGAGTTCTAAAACTTACCACGCAAGTTCTCCACAACGTCAAATCGTGAGGAGAAGACCATGTTCCAGTGAATCAAGACGTTCAGATCGTCAACGGAGAGCAAACTCGACGCGAGCATTCGAGGGAGGCACGTCAACGGAGAGCAAACTCGACGCGAGCATTCGAGGGAGGCACTCCATCGCCACCGTGAAGAACCTAGACTTAAACAAAGGGGAGAATCCAGATCATTCTCCTCTCTTTTGTAATCAGAATTCAAATTGTAATTAAGATCAAGATAATACAAGTCAACTTTCTTTCATTCTTTTTACTGCAAAATTTCCACCAAACAGTTGTTTATGGAATCAAATCATGATTGTTAAAATAGAGGAATGTTCCAGGAGTCTTATGCGATTGTAGAATAACTGCGAGATTAAAGGATGAATTCTATAAGATGATTATAACACCAACAATGCTTTAAAAAGCGAAGTTTTTGACAATTAAAAACTAATATATGCAAAAAATGAGTGTAACAGAAATGAGAATGTTACGATGGTAATATGAGTATACACTAAAAGATAAGATAAAAAATGTGTACATCCTAGTAAGATGGAAATTGCTCCTATTGAGAATAAAATGAGGGAGATTCAACTAAACTGGTTTAGTCTCGCACAATGAAATCTCTTAATGCACTTGTTAGAAAAAATGATAATAGTATAGTTAATGAGATTAAGAGATCTAGAGACAAATCTAAAAGAACTTGGTTGGGAGCAATTTAAAAGAAGATGGTAATGGTTAACTTAAGAGATGACTCATAATTGAACAGCATGAGAAAATAAAATTCATGTAACCGATCCAAACATTTAAGATGAAGACTTTGTTGTTCTTGCTATTATCATGCCAATAAACTTTGAAGGCACCCCAACTAAATCCAAAACCGAGCAAACTTTTCGTAGAAATTAGTGGTTTTCGACCAAAGTCTGAATAGGACTCCAACTAAATCCCTCCTTTATTTGTAAAGAGAGATTTTATGATTTACTAGTACCTTTAAATCTTAAAATATTTCCGCACGTCAGTCCTTAAGTTGTTAAATTTCAATTTTATAAAGAGGATAGGTGATAGGGAGGCAGTGAAATGTCCAAATAGCTCCAGAGGTAACGCCGAGAAAAGAAGAAAGCTATAATGGACTGTCACTCCATTGTAAGAAACAACAGGGCCACGAATTTATTAATTCTTATACTTTTGTTCATCTACACTTCAAAGAGAATACAAAGAATAAATAAAAAAATTATTAGTTATACTACAATAAATACTATACAGTAGAAATTACTATTTATGCTGCAATGATTTACTATATCGTAAACAGTAAATCAATCTACTCATTCATGCTCGTAGTTACTATTCATACTACAATATCTTACCGTATCATAAACAGTAAAGCAAATTAAATGTATTAAAACTTAGATCATTCTCTAAGTATAAATGTGTCGATATAATTTCCAATTTTAAACATACAATAATTAAATCAAATATATTAAAACTTAGAGAGAGACAAGTTCAAAATGCAGTGCTTAAAAAAATAAGGGGTCGTGCTTTACACGAGGTGCACACTAGCATGCAAGAATACAAGAGGGAGCATGAAGCAAAGTTTAAATTGGACGAGAGAATGCTCAGAATTGAAGTTAAAAATGATGCGGGCACATACAGCACAAAACACAGGGTGGTCACATTTTTCCTAAATTTTGCCAAAAATCATAATCGACTACAAATATTAAAATAAGTCACAGCTAAAAAAAACTTGAAACTTCAAATCAGCCATAAAAAAATACGCACACTAGTATTTTGCCAACACAATTCCGATGTAAGACTTTGCAATACTGTTGAGATAAGGCTTCTGCATTTTGTATTTCTACAGCTGCAGTTTTCCGAGTTTCACTTACCAAAGGCTTAACCCTAACTATATATATTAAGAAGTACCAAAGCAGACATAAGCACCATCAGTCAGCAAAACAGGAGAAAGCGTCAAATTCAAAGACGACCATACAACATCCAACTTCTACGTTTAAACCACATATGATAGTACTGCTAAATTTCGGAACGAGACATCTTCCATCAAGGATCATATTACATTTTTACCCCATGGCATACTTCTGAGTCCAGGAGCGGGCAGTGGCCTCGTACTTGGCCCTGTCGGTCTTGTACATGTGAGCAATCTCTGGTACCAAAGGATCATCTGGATTTGGGTCTGTAAGTAGCGAGCAGATTGATAGGAGCACCTGCAGTTTTATTCAGTTCTTACTTGTGTGAGATAGCCAGAAACCAGCAAAGCACAAGAAAAGTTCAGTTCATTGAGATTAGCAAGAATTACTGCCAGCATTTAAAGGGCGTAAAGTTTGTGAAAGAAAAAAAAAAGGAATTAGGCAAGTGTGTATTGAGCAAAACAAAATGGAATACACAAGATTACACCATTCAGCAACTCTCGTTAAATGAGATGTCAGCTCACACCCAACAGCCCCTATATGTCATAAAAGAAAATGCAACACCGATATAGGTAGTAATATAGAGTGACCTATATCCCAGCACTGGATTTTCACAGAGATTAGCTGGATTTTTTTATCGAGATTAGCATAGAATTTCACTGACCTCAATATGTAAAGCTAGGGGTGGACAAGGGAATCGCTACAGACTGTTCCCAAAACAATGAAAGGTTCATGTTGCTAAAATTGCAACTTGGTGTCCTGTTTCGTTTAGCATAGTATCCCCACATCAATTTGACTGATTACCAGTCTTATGTTTTTCCCTTTGTTTTACCCTTCTTCCTACTTTATACCCCTTTCTGCCCAACATTTTTTCCATTTTGTATGGGCCTTTTTGTTCACAATTTTTTTTTTTACCCTTTTTCATTATTTTATGGTTGCAGATATTTGGGTTATTATTTTTTATAGAATAGGTATCTAGGAAATGCAATATATGTGTGTAAGTAGACTGGAGTCTAAATACTACTTCGGATGTTCATTATTCAATCAAATATTTGCATATGAACTAAAATTTGATTCAAATATGGAATAGATCCTATGATTAACAATAATTCATGATTGACTTTAACAATTGTAAATAATTCATCATTCATGCATAACAATAACAGATTTTACTCAGTGCATCCGTGAACATGACGATATTTTTCAATGGACAAGTTTTGCGAGAGAACTAAAATTTTGATTCTATGAAAGAACAACAAAAAACTGAGGTTATCTAGCAAGCAAACAATCAAAAATATTGGAAAGAACCTCAATCTTTGTATTTGCAAAGATAAATGGCCATAACAACAAGAATAGTTGATTGAAATATCATACTCATTAAAAAAACTTGTTTAAAAATTAAAAATTAAGAAAAAAGATTTACTCTCTATTTGGATGGGGGGAAGAAGGGAAAATAAGGTAAGAACTAACCTTGTCTGGGAGTTCTTTTTAATAGGGTAAGGGATGGGAGCGAAAGGTAATTAAGGTCATAAGTTCCACTTCAAATAGGGACAATTCTTCCCCCCTCAATTTGGCGGGTAGCCACGGGAGGGAACTGGCTTCCCAAATTTATTTTCTTGAGACTGTTTTGCCCCTCGTCAAGATGTCAATTGGATGACAGAGATTTAATTCTTAAAAACCCTACACTACATAAGAACGGAAGTGTCACTCTCTTTTTTCTGTCTTCTCTAGTCAGCCTCTTTTTCTCTGTCTCTCGCTATCGTGCGCCGCCGGTTTCTTTGACACGTCGGGCATCGTCTCGCCTCCGACGCTCGTACGTTGCATCAGCTTCTTCGATGCCTTAGATATTGCTTTTCTTCTGAAATCACTCTTTTCTTCTGAAATCATTCTTTTTAGTTATTTATTTCTGTTTTCCCCTTCTTGATGTCTTGATCTATGTTATTAATCTCATTTTATTCTAGAGAATTTTAATTGACTACATGTTGCATGGATTTGTTAGTCTTGCAATCAAATTAAATGTAATTATAGGTTCTTAATTCATAGGATTCATTAGCTTTCTCGGAAGTGAAAATCTACCATCACTAGTTCAGAATTGTATCCAATCAGAAAAGAACTTAAGTCAATCAAACAGTGCTTGTACATAATGGACAAGCCGAAGAGACACTATATTTGTATGCATTAGACCCTCCGTCGGGGATATGGCAAAGATTGCCTCCAATGCCTGCTCTTGTCTCTAGGGGGGTTAGTCGCCTAGAACTTTTTAAGTAGAACTGGGATAATTGGTAAAGTGGAATAATTTTTTGACACTGGGATAATTTAGTGGAACAATGATGAATAATTGGTAAAGTGGAATAATTTGATAGGATAATTTGGTGGGATAATGATGGATAATATTATGAAGTTGCATAATTTGATAGGATAATTTGGTGGGGGTAATGGTGGGTATAAATTACTATTGTTAATAATTGTATATTAAAAATAATATAATATTGATAAGCAAATTCTAGTAATAACTATAAAATATAATGCAATAAAGCATCACTATTCATCTCAAATAATAAAAAAATTTACAAATAAATAAAAATCTAAATCCTTCAGTGACTCGACTTTCATCATCCCACATGGCTTCTATCATCCCACATGGCATCTGCCATAGAATTTCTCCAAGCTCCTACAACTGCTCGTTGAGTCTGTAACTCATCTTCTTTATTGGAGTCATCGTCTGCATCAGCAACATTTCGTGGAGCTTCTAGTGGAGGATCATAAATGTCGAAGTTCAAATCTCATAACATCATAAAGAAAGAAAAATAAGCATTTTTCAGCCATTAACCCTTTGGACCAATCTCATCATGATCGCTGAAACCAAATCAGAAAATAAATGAAATGTACATAGGAATCATCCATGGCCGCTAAACAGATGATCGACAGATGAACTATAAATATCCTAATCAATTTACTGAGCCGATTTAATAATAATAGATATCACCATTAACCATTCAACATCTAATCATCAATGTGATCGCAAAGTTGTTTTCTAACTTATAAAAAAACATAAATAGCCCGCATAACTTTAGCATTAACCCACCAACACTATATTCTTAACCTAAACCACTGCTGTGGAGAGAAAACTTAGATCAAACAAACAATAATAAAGTAATTTAACGTCAAAAAGCTATCAATAAAGTAATACATCTTGAAGATAATAATAAAAGATCTAATCATCACAAAAACAAAGTAAAGACAGAAAAATGAACGGATGATTGACTTCATGACAGAGAAATTTTCTAGGCGGAAAAACTAACCAAGAGGGAGGGAGGCGGCGTTTCACTTTTTTTCCCCAATTGTATTCTTTCCAATGTGTGGGATAATTTGAGAGAGGAGAACTTATGGATATATACATAGGTAGTATAATTTGTGGGATAATTATGACCAATTATCCCAATTCTAATTTTAGTAGAATTCTACTTGACTAACACACCAAAAAAATAATATAGTTCTAGTTCTACAAAAGTTCTACTTGACTAACACTGTAAAAAAATATCCCATTTCCTAGTTCTATGTGACTAACACCTTAAAAATTTATCCCGTAAATTATCCTAGTTCCAGTTTTAAGTTCTAGATGACTAACCCCCCCCTAAAGAATAATCTAAAAGTACGTGGAGTAATGTTATTAGAGGTTGGCATGGACAGAGAGATTCAATTGGTTGAATGCCTTCTTGTGGTTGTGCTATAAGAGCTATTGATGGTCATCTCTACGTATTAGGGGGTTATCTAAAGCCTCAGTAATCAATCGTGTATGGAAGTATGATCCTAAAATGAATATTTGCCAAGAAGTAAGTTCCATGACTACATCTAAAGTTTTTTGCAAGAGGAGTCAATTGAATGGAAAACTTTGTTGTTGGTAGCGTAGTGTTAACTGGGTAAGAGATGGGGATTGGAGAATTCGTGGGCTAATGCCTCTTAGATCTGCTAAGCATTCGATCCAATAACGGGTTCGTAGGATCCGTTATCAGACATGCCATTTTCAAAAGTCCACACCACAGACCTTCCCCTGAGTTGGCTGAAACGGCGAATATTATAGCAACAAGAATGAGTTCCTATAAGAAAAAAGTTGTGTGTGCCAGAGACGAACTCATGGGTTGCTACGCTAGATAGCATAGGCCGCGGTTGGCTTGTGAAAAAGGTGGAACTAAAATAAGTGTTGTCATGAACGGTGAATAGTATGCGTTAGATTTGGATCATTCTAGTTCTTCGGATAATAGTATAAAAATTTTCAATGACCTAGATGATTCATGGAATGTTGTCACTGGGAAAATGTCCATCATAGATTTCAACGATGCAGAGTCACCTTATTTGTTTGCGGGAATTCTTGGAAAGCTTCATTAAGACTGTTAAAGACTCGAATAGTGAGATCGCAGTGTTGGAGGCTGACTAGAGAAGACTATATCAAAATTTCCATTGATCTTTGATTCGTTGCAGTTTAATCCAAAGACTCAATCTTCTTCATCTTCTTCTACAATGCATGCGGTTGCGACAGAAGTGTGGAAACTCGTAGCTACTAAGAATTTGGGGGGCAGCAGCGCTTGTAAGTTGTCAAGTCCTTGATTCTTATATTAACTTATTGAAATACTCGACTTTATGACCGTTTAAGTTTGAATTTTTGTTTGATATTTGTCAATTGTCTAGCAGAGTCGTTTAGGGGTAGATCATAAAGTGAGAAACTTGAAGCTTTACTGAAAGTTCTGGAATCATGTAGTGCTGGTTTAATGATTATTTCCTTGTAGATGGTGTGGAAACCAATTAACAATTTTCGTTTTGTATTCCGTTGTGCACCATACAGTGTTTTAAAGGCGATGCGCTTTAGTGCCTCAGGCACTCAGGCGAGGCGATCTTGTAATTTAGCACCTTGAATATTGCTTGGCGATGAATGTTACTAAGGCCATCGCCTTTTGACGCCTCAAGAGATCGCCCTGGCACCTCGTGGCCTCATGGGCTCGTCTAAGAATGCAAGGCGCGAGGTGTTTGTGTCTGTTTCAAAATTTTGAGGTTGCAAAAAGTGTACAATAAAGTAAAGTTTATTTTTGTTACTAAATTTTGTGTTTCTTTTTTCATTGTCAATTTTTTGTTATTTTTTATTAAAAAGTACTTTATTACCTATATCATTTGGAGGTCATGCCACAATTTGAACCTTAAAGTTTAAAGTTTGTTGATTAATTATATGTCTTAGCAGTAACTAGTTAATATTACTATTCAATATTTGTTACTTACTACTTCATTTAGATGATTTGTTTATTAGATTTGTGACTTTGAAAAGTTGGATGTGATTAATTTGTGTTGTTGCTATCTATTGATACTTGCATTATTATTTGTAATATTTATGAATTTTTGGAATATTTATGGCCGTAGTTTACTTAAGCAATCACCTTTTTTGGCACCTCTCGCGTCAAGCGACGTAGAATCTTATCGCCTTGATCCTGCCTTTTACTTTTAAAAAATTGGCACCATATTGATCTTGTTGGCTCATTATGCATTCCATAGTGAATAAAAGATAAATTTATTTGGCATATGGAGTATCATGGTTATTTTGATGTGATAATTCTTGGAGAGTCATCAAGTGAATTTGATCTAATGTTAAATAGTTCTTATATGCAGATTAATTCTCTTGACCGCCTTGGACATATTTTGATATTGCCAATTAGAAATTAATGTTTTTGCATTAGCTTTATTGCTTTAACGGTTTAACCTTTTGATAACTTGCATTTCCTTTCCCTAATAAACCCTCAAAGAAGTTACTAAATTCTCCCTTAGCTTCCCTTACCATTCGGTACTCTCCCTTCCTCAATTTAAACTTATCTTCCCTTCCCCTAGTAAACCCTGAAACATAGTGTTAACCTTTGGAGTTTGAGATGAGATCTTTGCAAAATAGTGTGCAGAGGAGAGAGGCAAGAGCTTGATTCCCTTGCAAAAGGAGACTCAACTGGTAGACAAAGGATTTCCACAATAAGCGGAGATTAGAATCGCAATTATTTCATGAAATATCATTAAATGTTTGCTTGGGTTTAGATAAGTTTTTACTTTTTTATCAAAATCATCTTCACTTGTTTACATGTTTGAATGTCACACACTTTTCACTATTCAGTTCAAAAAAGTCCTAAATTCCCCATTTAACACGTTCATCTTCTCCCTTCTCTACCTCCAACCTCCCCTCCCCTCTCCCCCTCCCTACCCTCCACCTCCTCTACTAACCCTAACCCTAACCTCAATTCCCAACATAAACCTCGTTCGCAACCATCACCTCTATCTCTAGGGCTTCTCCAAACCCCCTAACCATGGAATTCTTTGATCAATGGTGATCCCTCTTCCCAATCCCCTCCATCTTCCCCTCCCCTTCCTTCCTCCCCTCCACTTCCTCCCCTCAGTCACCTCCCACTCATTCTCTCTCACCTCACCCCCTTCCTTCCACCACCCTCCCCCTCTCCCCTCCTCCATCCTCACTACCCTCAGCTCCCTCCTCTCCCTTCCTCCCTCTCCACCTTCACTAAAAACCTCCTCCCTCCTCTCCCACCACCGACCCCATCATTGCCAACCTCATCTGCACCCTCCTCTCGTTCCCCCTCTTGGGTTAAATTAGAGGGTTTAATAAGAAGTCCAGATTTTTTTTTAGCAGAAAATACCAAAAAGTGTGACATTGCAAACATGCCACCAACCCAAACTGCTGAAGTTCAGGAAGTTGGGTCAGTTATTACGATTTTTATCGAATTATGCTCACCCCTACTTTTGACATACATTTTAGCCTACAAATCTAGCAGTAATAGGTTTGCAGTTTTATTACATGTCCACCTTGCATTACATCTCATTCAACAAAATCATGCTTAACAAAACCAGTAACACATTTGAACGCCACACACAATTAGGTTACCATTCATCTACAAATAGCAAACTCTTTCATCAAGAAGAACTTTCTTTAACTAACCAACAAAGTAAGATCTTGAAAAGAGAATTGTTTTCAACTTTCACCAACTTCAATTTAGAAATCAGGATAACCAATAAGAATATACAGCTCTTCTAGAATGTGTCATTTTGGGAATTCCGACGATTTGTTTAATTGATACAAATTGTGACCCAGATCTCGCAGATATTTCGGTTCCAGCCAACGATGATGCTATAGCTAAAGGTTCTGATACTTCAATAACATAGATTGGAATTCATATGGACAAAAGAAATGAAAAAGGGAAAGTAGGAAGAGCAATTAGAGGTTGAAATTACCTTGGATATAGTAAGAGCAGGACTCCACTGCTCCTTGAGGATGTCAAGGCATATGCTACCATTACTATTGATATTTGGGTGAAAAACTTTGGTGCGGAAGGATACCTGAGACATATTAATATATTATAAACTGATTATTATGATACATATGAATATACATGCATCAAGAGGAAAACAAAACAAACAAGAACACTGTAAACACAATTTTAGCAGAAGGTAACTTTTCCAGAGTCCAAATGTGGAAGCAACAGTTGAAGTAATAATGACATTTCCACATTCACAGAAAATTTTTAAGGTTAGCTTTCTAGTTTACTTCTTTTGATTAGTCATATTTGATCTGAATCATTGGGACCCTTCTAAAGTTAAGAAAAGCTTGATGGGTTTCTACAGTTAGGAGGGCTTCAAATGGCCACGCAACCATTTGACTAACTTGTTTGGCATATCATGTGTCAAATTCCATACATTTTCCTGTGTATTTCGTGTTATGCAATCTAACATGTCCTCATATGGCAGAGCTTAAAACTAGAGAGATGAAAATGACAATTATATTTGTCAGCAGTAGCAATAGCTATTTCGGTTCTAAAGTATGGTTGATCAAAAACGGAACTAATAAATTAAGTGTCCTCAAGCAGCAACATTTTATGATAATTAGAAATCTCACTGTAGCATTATAACTCTAAAAGCTAGACGAGCATATGCACATCTTGATTTTTTTTTTAAAAAGAAATAGATAAATTACCTTTGGTGGCTTAAATGGGTAATCTGGTGGGAAGTGGATTGTCACGAGGAAAACACCACCAGAAAAGGGACTGTCAGCAGGTCCCATAATGGTTGCTTGCCAATGGAACATGTCCTCTGCAACAGGACCTGTACGCATTAAAAGAAAAAAGCTAAATTACTAAAAAGAATACAGTAATACACAAATAATGTCCACTACTTTTTCAACAAGCTAGACACATCATCACTGTCATTATACTGGAAACAAAACACTATATGTGATGTACAAACATGGCCAATGTCAGGCGCCTATCAACTCCAAAACCACCGAAAGAAGCAGCAGTCTTTGTTGATATTTTGAAAGAAAACAAAAGAGCGGGCCCCACTGCTACAGTAAAATATTAATATTTTATTGTGCATATTGTTTTTCCAAAAACTATAAATAGGGCTCCAAATCCTTAAGGAAATCTCATCCCAGAAACAACTTCTTACATAGAAGAGTGAAAGGGAAAAAATAGAGAGTTTCTTCTTGTAAAGAGAGAGAGTTTGTAACTCCAGAGTTTTCTCTTCATAGTGAATTCTTCTATCCTTGCCCGTGGACGTAGGCAATCAAGTGCCGAACCACGTAAATCTGTGTGTCCAACATTTTATCTCTACTTTTGCTCTACTATTGTTGCGACCCTGCTCTATTGGGCCCCGAGTTTGTCCCAACAAGTGGTATCAGAGCCAACTTAGGGTACTTGTATATATCTACTTATCGTATGCTCTGTGGCTGCCACCAAATGTAGATCCTCCACATTAGAAAATAAGTTAGGTTATCATTTACCCTTTGGAGGTGACTGGTACTATTCACGAGTACGGTACTGTTCACAAATACGATATTATTCATAAGTACGGTACTATTCACGGATACGGTTACTGTTCATAAATACAATACTATTTACGTGAAATAGTAAGAAGTTGTTCGTGGTAGAAGCAATGACGGCGAAGTTCAAGATCGAGAAATTCGACGGGAGTAATTTCTCACTGTGGAAGTTGAAGATAAAGGCTATCTTGAGAAAAAATAATTGCCTGGCGGCCATCGGTGCAAGGCCGGACGACATCACAGATGATAAGAAGTGGAACGAGATGGACGAAAATGCTATTGCAAATCTCCATCTGGCATTAGCAGACGGGGTGCTGTCAAGCATAGAGGAGAAGAAGATAGCAAAGGAGATCTGAGATACTCTAACAAAGCTATATGAGGCGAAATCCATGCACAACAAAATCTTCTTAAAAAGGAGACTTTACACTCTGAGGATGGCGAAATCTACATTGATGACCGACCACATCAACACCCTAAACACACTGTTCTCCCAACTCACAACGTTGGGATATACAGTTTGTGCGAATGAACGTGCAGAACTTCTACTTCAGAGTCTACCTGACTCGTATGATCAACTCATCATCAACCTGACGAACAACGTCCTCACGGACAATCTAGTCTTCGACGATGTTTTAGCCGCTGTTCTAGAGGAAGAAAATCGGCGCAAGAACAAGGAAGATAGGCAGACAAGTTCGCAGCAAGCGGAGGCCTTGTCGGTGACGAAAGGAAGATCAACAGAACGTGGCTCCAGTGGGAGTCATGCCCATGGTAGATCGAAATCACGAAGTAAGAAGAATATCAAATGCTACAACTGTGACAAAAGAGGGCACGTCAAATCGGAGTGTTGACACAACAAGAAGAGTGGACATAAAAAGTCTTCAGAGCCATCAACATCTCAAGGATGCGTTGTCAGCACGTCAGAGGATGGTAAAATTCTATTCAGTGGAACAACCACTGTTGATGAAGGCAGAAAGAAGTTTGCTGATGTCTGGCTTCTAGATTCAGCAGCCTCTTGGCACATGACCTCTCGGAGAGATTGGTTTCACAAATATAAACCTATCTCAGGAGGATCTGTATTCATGGGGAATGATCATGTCTTGAAGATTTGTGGTATTGGTACTATCAAAATCAAAATGTTTAATGGTATAATACGCACCATTCAAGATGGCAAGATAGAAAGAATGGTGTGAAGATATGATTGATACTCAATCAAATCTTCAAGTGGGAGATTGTCAGGCGCCTATCAACTCCAAAACCACCGAAAGAAGCAGCAGCCTTTGTTGATATTTTGAAAGAAAACAAAAGAGCGGGCCCCACTGCTACAGTAAAATATTAATATTTTATTGTGCATAGTATTTTTCCAAAAACTATAAATAGGACTCCAAATCCTTAAGAAAATCTCATCCCAGAAACAACTTCTTACATAGAAGAGTGAGAGAGAAAAAACAGAGAGTTTCTTCTTGTAAAGAGAGAGAGTTTGTAACTCCAGAGTTTTCTCCTCATAGTGAATTCTTCTATCCTTGCCCGTGGACGTAGGCAATCAAGTGCCGAACCACGTAAATCTGTGTGTCCAATATTTTATCTCTACTATTGCTCTACTATTGCTGCGACCCTGCTCTATTGGGCCCCGGGTTTGTCCCAACAGCCAACACCACCATGATTCCCTAAATTAAGGCATCCAGTATGAAAACTAGCAAATCCTAGGTCACGTAAGGTGTATACTGTATGATATCCATGATGATTTCATTGTCCAGCAGCTGAAATAAAAAATATTGTACCTAGTTTTGAGTGTTCAGGTTGTTTCTGATAAGTATAATACATAGGGAATGTTATCTGAGGATCAACAGAAACAGAATCAGCAATTAGAACATTATTTATATGTAATTTCTTCAAGCAACAAATAACTCCAGACACCTCTAAGTAACCATGGAATTAGCCTCAATACATAATTGCTATCAACAAAAAATGTCAAGCCTTGATACAATGGGTGGACAAGGAAATCTATCACGGCCTAAGTTACCCAGACACTTCACCCGAGTTTCTGTATCCGTGTGGGAAACTTCCCATATCTGTGTCTGACACTCCTTGGACGTTATCTTACACTTTGGCTTCAAATTTCAGCAACACATCGGGCTAGGGTCGGGTTCAAAAACGAGCAATTTTCCAATTTATAATCTACTCAAAAGAAACATAAAAATGTTATAGGAATTTTATTTATCATAACATGTGGATGACAAAACAATATTGATCTCATATAAATCATTGATTACGATACGCATATATAGTCGTGTCGTCGTACCCTGTCTTTTACAAATTTGTTGTGTCTCATACCCACACTCGAATGCTATAACATATTTTGAAGTAGGTCCCAAAAATATGACATCACAAAATAAGCCTTCAAATTTGCTTAAATAACATCAAATAGGTCTATGTTAGTTTTCTCAGTTCAAATCTAGCTCGGTCGGATTAACTATTCAATAATCTTCACTCTCTAATAGAGAACATACAGGCATAATGGAAACAACAAAGGGCCGTTGCAAAATTTTAAATAACGATATTTAACTAAAGGGGCCTATTTGGTATACCTTAAACAAATTGGGAAGCAATTTAAACCCACTCATCTTTCGGTTGATCAACATCATAAACACCCCATAAGCTTTTGCACACATTAACTTACTACAAAAAGCATCACGACACTACAGGAAATAAAATGCCTAAGCATAGTAAAAGAAAATTGAAGCAGATAGTAAAAGCAACCAGAGACCTGCGCTGCAAGATGTTGGAGGATCTTTCTGCAAATCCTTCAGCTCCTTCAAAATCCTCTTCGAGGCCATTGATCACCTTAGCGATCGAATTCTAAACAAACAACAAAAACTTAAAACGTTGACGAGCACTAAATAGTCTTCGTAAAAACCGATCTTTACTAAAACAATCGCCAAAACCCTAGATATCGACCAGATTAGCAACAAAAATAACAAGAGAAAGAATAGAAACTTTACCCCCAAATCTTAGGGCGCAGCTACGCAAATGGGAGAGGATCGAAGAGAGAGCCGCACCGATCTTTTGACGATTGAAGAGGAATGGGATTAGGGTTTTCCCTCTCCCTCACTCCCTGCCTCTCTCTCTCTCTCTCTCTCTCTTTCTGTCTGTCTCTGTCCGCACTAGAAACGTTTCACGTATGCGTCTCTCTTCGCATTAAGTACAGATTTTGATTTGATTTTCGATCTTCGGTTTAATCCCACATCGGCTAGGTTAGAAAGTGGTAGCTTGCTCTATGGACATAAAAAACACCTGTGGGCTCCATAACAAAGCCAACCTTTCTCTGATTGGGATCCTCTACTAATAAGGAGGTTCCTAATATCTTCTAATGGGATCTTGATCTTTGATTTATCAATCAAAAGTCAAGATCTCCTCATGAACAAAAGTAGGGGGAAGATAAGGATGAGATCAAAGGCCTTTGATTGATAAATCAAAGGCTAAGATCTTTTTATTAGGAGATATTAGGAACACTATGTATTAGTAGAGGATCCAAATTGACATTTCTCGGCCTTATTGGATGAGGTCAAGCGTAGTACCTTTTCTTATCAGTTTATTAGTAGTGTGAACACCGTGCAATGCACATATTTTGTTCCTCATTACAGTAATCCAGTTTAATTATTACAGTATTTTATTTTAAATTTTTTTGAATTGCTATATTATCCCGTGTCTGCTACAGTATTCTCTTGTTCTACAGTAATATTTTTCAAAAAACACAGTGTCGAGTTTTATGTTTGCTATAGAAATAATGCTACAACATATTCTACTATAGCATGAATAGTGAATCTTGGTTTCTCTCATTTGTATAGAGGAGTAGATCTGATGAAAGGTGGGTCATCAGCCCACCATGATGTTAAGGTGGTATTTGTTTCAAATCCTATAATTTTAGGATATGAATTTCACCATGGGATTTGAAATCCATAGCTGTTTTGTTATGGGATGAGGTTTCTAAAATGTTGCTTGTTTCATTAATATTTTGGGATTTGGAATACTACAATTTATAATATTTTATTTGTTTCAAGCTCAAATTGTAGCATTAACAAATATCAAAATTTTGTAATATGATGAATATCTATCTTGGTGAGGTTACCTCCCATAAAAGACAAAATTAGGATTTGTCAAATCCTCTCCAATTGAGAGGTAAGCACACTCATTTATGGGATTTGTCAAAATCCTCTCTAATTAAGAGAATTTAGCAAATTTTAAAAATATGGCATTTATTGTACTTTTGATATTTAATATTCTAAAAAAATTCTTAAAACAAACACCATATACGGAATCCTAAAATACAAAAAAAAAATTACTTTTTAATCTCAAAACTTATAATCCATATCAAATATCAAATTTTTTGGTGAAACAAACCGTCGCTAAGTTAATATTTTTAATGGAAGGGACCACCCTTGAGGGTTGCACGTGCGTGGCACTATTGCAAGGCCGAGGCGCACCCGGACCAAATAAAAAATATTTTAATTTGTTGGGTGTCTGATTGATTAGTAGTACGACACAAAAGATAATGTTTTTTATCTTAAAACTGGCCCCTCAAATTATCGAAGTTTCCATTAGGTTCTTCTCGAGTTAATTTGAAATTAGTGCCTCTAATGTTTAAAATTAATCCCTTTAATTGGCAAACCTTAAAATACTATTTTCACCTGGTTTCTCACTTAAAATTATATGGGAAAATCCGCTTTTAACCCAAAGTTTTACCCCAACTTATTTAAAAACTCACTCACTTTTCAAAACATCAATAGACCCATTATATCACATCCCACTTATTTTTAAACTCAAATGTACAATACACTCATTATTATTTATCCAATAACTTGAAAAATCATAAACTACCCTTCATCCCCAAACTGATCTCTCCCTCTCTCCTCCTCCAACTGAGCCCAGAGCTCTCTTGTTCCTTCCTATTCTCCTTCAACCACTACCACCAACCTCCTCCTCTCCCCTCCCTTCACTTCTCCTCCTCCCTCAAGCTCATCAATCTTTGTATCCACCGCCCCCTATCTCCCCTCGCCGCCACATCACCCACCACCGTCGACCTTGAAGTAGATGAATAGCCCACCAATGATTTCGATATTGACTCCCTGTAGTATGTTGACGTGGAGACAAGGACCCGAAGTACTTGTCGTTGGCGCCAGTTGATAATCATATTTTATTATAATTTTATACCCTCATTATCTATTTTTTATGAATAAATATACCACTAATCATTATTTTTATCTTTTAATTGTAGGTTAATGAAGAATAAATCTCAAACTCTCATCTCTCAACAAAGGCCCCTTGATTTAACACCAAAGCCCAAAGTCAAAAGCAAAAGAATGAAGCCCATGAAGCCAAATAATTTCTTTTAATATTTAATGAAGCATTAAAGCCCAAAATGTCAAGAAAATGTCCAAAAGTCTAAGCCCAAAAGCCCAAGAAAAATAAATATACCATCAAGGAACAAATAAAGAAGTTTTGTGAAAAAGGAAACAAATCATACAATCTGGATATCTCGGTAATATTTGGTATTTTGGTCATATCTCTCTCATATCAACTCGGAATTGGCTGAATAAACATTCTCTGGAAAGCTAAGAACGAGATCTATAACTTTTGTATTTATGACATCTCTGAAATCGGAATATATCATGGACAAATATTCGTACAAAGAAGCACGATCTGAATTTCTGTAATGGAGAAGTAATTATGAGAAGAATTTGAAGGTTAATGAAGAATAAAGCTTAAGATCTCTTCTTTCAGCAAAAGCCCATTGAATTAGTAAAGAAAACAAGCAAAAGGCCCAAGAATTCAAGCCCAAAAGCTCAAAGGCTAAAAATGATTCCTTAGGGCTTAAGTCTTCATCCAAGGGCTCTCATTCATTGTTGTTTACTATAAATAGGGGTAGAGAGTGAGGGGTTTGTAGGCGTATAAAACTGCCTGAAGGTCCCTTAACACAGCTCGGCGCGGTGATTCGACAAACCAACGAACCATCGAGCGATATATCCAAGCATGGTCGTTAGACCACAACACTGAAGCCAAGTGAGACGCGACGAAGCGGATTAACGAGGTGACGAGGTTAACGAACCGCACTCAAACAACGGAATACATCCAATCGCGTGTCCAATCAAGCTAACGGGTCGATGAATCAATGAGTCATCCAACCATAGAGTCCACCACATCAAACAAGATCGGGAACAGACTCGAACGAATCAAGATCAAATCAAGATCGAATCTGGATTCAAACTCGAACACCGAAGCGGATTTACTGCCAAATTAGGATCTGGACTGTCAAATCAGAGTCCAGATCAACAATGAAGTTCGGATAAACTGCGAAACCGGAAAACGGGCGCAAAACCAAACACCTGGAGGGCTCGGCCGAAACCGAGCCACCTCTAGGTGGCTCGGTGGCCGAGCCATCACTTNGGCTTGGTGAGCCACCAAGGTGGCTCGGTAGCCGAGCCACCTAGGTGGCCGGCCGAGCCACCTAGGTGGTCGGCCGAGCCACCTTGGCCGAGCCACCCAGATCTGGGCCCAGATCTGAGCCCAGATCTGGATTGAGATGCCTATAAATAGAGAAGGAGGGCTTATTTTTTAGGGGTTGGAATTTTGAGAGGTTGAAGGCTAAAGAGAGGAGAACTTTTGAGGGGAAACTCTGCTGGATTGAGAGCTAAACTTCAGAGCTTTGGAGCTTTGAAGACTCAGACTTTTTAGATCTGGTTCTTGGCGATCATCCACGCCAAATAAGGCAGGAGTTCGAGAGAGATCAGATCTGAGATCTACACGGTCATCCTCCGGATCAAAACTTGGTTTTTGATCCCGAGAAGAGTATCGATTTCGCTTGGTCGATTTTGATTACTTAGGGCTATTATTTCCTTAGTGAAATAATCCCCTCGGCTGTTATTTCCTTCGTAAAATAACACCCGTCATACCGTGTAGATCCGACCGGATCAAGATCGTGTGGTGGTCCACGGATTAACCCCGGCGCAGGCAAAGAACCCACACAAGCAAGAGACCGCAAAACAGGATCTTGTGATTTGTTCCAAAAAAGGAAAGTTGCAATCTTTTAAGATTTTCTTTTTCTTTGATTTTGTTGTAACCGGATCTTTTGTAACTGATAAACTGTTGCTCAAGAAAACAATGACATCAATGAAAACAATTTTTCCCGCGAACAATCTGGCGATCACAGTGGGAGCCGCCGATCTCGCTGCCGAGATCATTGCGAGTATGAATTCGACCAACAAAAGTTCGAGGAGTATCTGTCATCCTCATCCGGATCCACCTCCCCCCTCAAGTCCAAGAAGTTCTCTTCCAGGAGAAAAGTCCGTTGGTACGAAGAAGTGCAGAGTACCAACGAAGATCTCACCCCAATTGATGCCGAAGTTGTATCGGGTGAAGCTCCACCGACCTTCAACCAGGTCAAATCTGTTATCGCCAATGCCTCCGCCGCTGAGGGCGTAGTAACTCTCTCAAAAAGAGCCCGCCAGAAGCGACGTCAACGCCTGGCGCAGCAATTCGCGAAGGCAATGGAGTCCACTGACGGAATCCGCTATAACGCGGATCTGAAGAGCAGGAGAGGCAAACAGCCTCAACAAACAATGAATGGCAGCTCCTCCAAGCCGCCAACGAATGAATGGATCCGTGTCAGACGGAATCGTTCAACACTTGATGAGCGCATTCACAAGCGCCGCGCACTGTCAGCGCAAGCACGGGCTCAAGTCCAAGAAGCCCGCAAAAGACTACAGAAGGAAGTGGCTAAAAAGCCGCCACCAACCCGCCAAGTATGGAGGTCAAAGTCTGAAGCGGCGATTCAGGCTAAAGAGCAACATTTGCAGCCTTTAGCAAAAGTTCAACATCCGGCGAACCATCCTAAATCGCCGATAATTCCCATAGCTGCTCCGGGAGATCCCGTAGGACCATCCTGAAGAAGGAGGTCAGTTTTGGAGCACCTCGGTCCACTTCCCGATGAGCGATGCAAAGCTCCAGTTCAAGAATGTTTGGGCCCGATAAAGAAGCCCCGAACGACTCAACATGCTGGGAGTCGCCGCCACCCTCAACATGACAAAGAGAGCAGGGCAGCTAAGCGCACCAATTTGCGCATTGAAGTCCAGGAGCCAGCTGAGAATTCATGCCCACAAAGGCATGTTTCGAGGCGCGTGACTCTTGAAAGCCCAAGGAAGGCA